GCTCACCTTCTTGAGGTTCATTGGGTTGTGAGGGGACACCTGCTGACATATCATCAGTAGAGGTGGGAAAAATGATCGATTCTAAGATGCATCGCGATTCAGCCGTGCATGATTCCGCATCGATGCAGCAACGTGACATAATGAGATTTTCTCTATGCGAGGACAATAAAGTTTTGAGGTTTTACAATTACTTCTGGGGGCAGAGTTGCAATGACATGCGCACTGCGTTGCCCTAGCGCCAATTTAAAACAGAAAAGGCGGACAGGGATACAGGGCCAACGTTACCAGTAATCAAAGATGTACCCGTTACATTTAAATCGGATGTCTGGGCTAATTTTGGTTTTGGGATCCTGGATGTGAAAGAATCACTTAACACAGTATTTGTTTACTATTTTTAAGTTCAGTAATATTCTATCTTAAAGCTGCTCTACAGAAAACATTATTTCTGATATTATTTAAGTAATTATAGGCAGCACACTTTAAAAATTATCGCTCACTATAGTGAATAGGTGAATGTTCTGTTTTTCAGGGATTTCGAAATCAAAAAGAAATTGAAAACTATCCTACTAATTTTATTAAGTAATGAAAATTTTTGTGTGAAGAATCGTGATGCATTTCAGACTCAAATCGAATCTTTAGGCAGATAATCGGAATCGGATCGAATCGTGAGGCAGGTAGAGATGCACACCACCATGGACGTAATTTTCACTTTAGAAGTGGGGGGGACACGGGGGGGGGGGGGGGTATCTTTACAGTATGCTCTAATGGGAAACAGGCTTCAACACAAACAGTTGTTTTCCGCTTGGTCCTAGAGCTCAATCAATGTCAATTTAATATAGCGTAATATTGTTTTTGGATGGTAAAAAGTGCAGGGGTCAAAACTTGACTTTGAAAAAAGTGGGGGGGGGGACATGTCCCCCCCGTCCCCCCCCAAAATTACGTCCATGCACACCACTAATCATCAGCTGCTGATTCTGGTAGGGACAAGGACAACAACCCATTTACCATAATTAGATGAAACATAGTTCCTCTCACTGTGGATATCAGAGCTAGCACACAGGTTGAATTTAACCACTCACTAACTAAACCCACCTTTCTTTGAGAAAAACTGTGTGACATACTGACACCCTCTCTTCTGCCTGTCCTCTTTATCCCTTCTTTCTTTTCTGTAACCCAGACTTTGTTTTTGCAGACATATTTTTACTGCAGCCTTGACGCACTCTGCTGTCTGACTGCTGCGTGACTGATCTAGCCTCGCCTGTCCAGGAGTATTAAGTATACATTGTTTGTAAAAACACCTCAGACATTACGGACATGTTCTACTATTGTCAGGTGAAAAACAAAATTGTCGGACACGCTATCGCATCTGCTTCTTTTCTAAACTCACAAAAATATGCCAGTCACAAAACCGATTGAAAGCCACTTTTTGTGAATTCTCTTAACGTTTCCATGGAGTCCGAGACAAACGTTCTTTTTCGTTGATCCCATCGACTAATCTCACAGCTGAAACAATGCATTTTTAATAATCTGAAGCTTTAACAACGCTGTAAAAAACAAGGTATAATCATTTCTTATTATATAATGTTGTTGCAGCACTGAAGCAGCTGAAAAATTTGATTTTGCTATAAATATGCAAAACATTTACATATGAATTGTTTTAGAGCCATTTTGTTGGCTGAATCTGATATTAATGTTAGCTACATGCTAGGTGTTCTGATAGAACACCGGGAAAAATGGGTCCCAATATGGTTTGTGTGGCGTTGTCATGTAACAGCGATAATGAAAGGCAGGGTAAAAATGTTCACCTTTTTCTGTACTTCATTTTGTTGCCCTGGAATTTCATGTTGTGCCATATTTAGGAAGTTCTGACTCCGCAAAGATTTCCTACATAGTTGGGGTTTTGCGAGGGAAAGCGATAAGGTAGGCAGAGGCTAAGAGCCGCAATGACGCTTTTTTACATGGACCCTTTAGCGATATTTTAGCCGATTTTTAAATTGACTTTTGGAAGCTTCAAGTCCAGCTCGGACATCGGGAAGAAGCTGTGGACTCTCTCGCAAGGCAGGAAATCGGTGGCAGACATGGCGGTAGAGTTTCGCATCCTGGTGGCCCGGACGACCTGGAACGAGGACGCTTTCATCGCAGCCTTCACCGAGGCCCTGAACGATCGGGTTAAGAACCAGTTGGCCCAATGCCCCGAACCCGGCTCGTTGGAGGAGCTCATCAGACTGGCCATCTCCATCGATAAACGTCACCTCGAGTTTAGACGACAAGAACCAGGACCGAGTGCGTCATCTTTTTAGGAACGGTTTCCAGGAGCTAGAGGGCGCTCCACAGCAGACTCCAATTCAACAGAGGAACCCATGCAGATGGGTAGGACTCACCTCTCTCAGGAGGAGAAAGAGCATCGATTAAGGTCTGGCCTTTGCTTGTACTGTGGTGTATCTAGACATTTTGCCAATAACTACCCAGCTCTGTTAAAAGGCAGAGCCCGCCAGTAAGACCAGGACTGCTGGTGGGCGGTAACTCAGACTCTGTTAGTTCTCGGTGCTCTTTCCCATGCTCTGTGCTTTTTAACTCAAGGCAGATCCAATTCAAGACCCTTTTGGATTTGGGCTGTGAGCAGACCCTGCTGGACCCCCAACTGGTGGCTGAATGGAGGATTCCCACCAACCGGTTGACCACTCCTCTGTCAGTCTCTTCTCTGGACAACCAAAACCTCTCCACCATCACCCACCAGACTGTTCCCCTCCGTCTTATGGTGTCAGGTAACCACACTGAGTCCCTGGTTTTTTACGTGTTCCCTTCTCCTCAGTCGCCGTTGGTGCTTGTTCATTCCTGGTTGGTTCGCCACAACCCCATGCTAGACTGGAGGGAAAACAAGATCGTAGGAAGTGACGCACACCACCATCAGCGTCAGCTCTGAGGATGTTTTGCAGTCAGCAAACGAAACGTACGTCAGCAAGATAAGGTAAAACCTTTCCTGTGTTTTAAAAAGAACCAAAAATGGAATCATAGGTTGGAGTCCGGAGTGCTCCCAACGATTTCTACGTTCTGCCTCTCTGACCACCTGTGGGCCCACAACCACTCCAACAGAGAACATAGACCTCTCTGCTGTGCCTCCTGCTTACCATGCCCTTAAGCAAGTATTTAGCAAAGACCGTGCATCTTCTTTACCACCTCTCACAGGCCCTTCAACTGTGCTATTGATCTGCAACCAGGAGCCCCTCTGCCGTCTAGCCGTCTTTATCACCTCTCCAAGCCTGAAAGAGAACGCATGGAGCATTATGGGCTCGACACACGGGAGGCGACAAACGACCGTGATCAGCGAAATTCCTCGCTGTCGCTTTTATTACCTGACACACGGGAGGCGATCCACAGCAGCGGCCAGCGGTAAAGCCGTCTACGCGTTCTGTTCCATGGCGAAATCAAAACTTCCGTTGTTTTGCTTGGCTGTGTCAGGTTGGAAGGAATTAAGGTTATTTAAGAGTTAATAAAGTGGTAGATATGATGTTTCACAAGGTGCTGTTAGAGTTATGTGAAATCTTACTTGTGATTTTACTATATAAAACATAATAATAATCAACTTCTCCTCCATGTTTGCTCAGAGGTGTACGGAGCATCCTGTCCGCTCATTGGTCAGTGAATGAAACCTCCGTTGATTGGTCCTCGTCCGAGCGACAGCGATGAAAAGTTGAAAATGTTTCAACTTTCTGGGATCGCGTCGCTGGGTCGCCTGTGCATGACACGTGCACGAGCGCAAAATTTCACACGCCCGTTTTTCGCGTTTCGCTTGGTAGGAGGGAGACCCGCGATTATTCGTGCATGTCTCATTGAAAATGAATGGCTGTTTATGTTGAATGAATAATGAAAGAAATGTTAACACCGATAACCATTAGGCTTTGTCTTCAAAGCTAAACTATTTCTTGCAGAACTTTTGGGGTTTTAGGGTTAGGGTAAAGCCTAAAACTTACAGAGATCGCGATTTAAGGAGAGTGCAGACACTGCTCAGCAGGTGGCAGTGTTGTACTGGTTAGCAGTAAATTAAACTTATGAAAGTGTAAATTAGGAAACCAAAATCACTTCTAATCAAACTGGAATAAAAAACAATCACAAATATGCCTAAAATCTGCCCTACGTAGGAAAATAATCAGAATATACTTTTAACACTTAATTAGCTTGAACACACACATTCACCTACTAATTACACTTAATTTTAAACTTCATCAATCATTCACGTACATAATGGTACATAAAGCACTGCTATAAAAGCAGAGAAGAGCTGTTATGGGAGCCTACATTTCTTAATGGAGACTGTGTGTTTTGTAGGCATGCCTATGCTTGAATGAAGATCCATATTAAAAATCTTTACATGATGCCTTTATATGGTTTACACAAAAGAAAAACTTTTCTTTTGTGGCATTAACTGTGACATTAAAACCCTAGTTAAATTCCTGAAAAGACCTAAATTATTCTTTTATTTACTAACAGTTTGATGAAGACCGCTTCGAAGACGGTTTTAAACTGTTTGTAAAGCACAGTGTCCACTATATGTTACACTGTGACAGACAGGCTTTAATTGAGACACCTGTCAGCAGCTGAGACTTTCCCCTTAAAGATGGAAAACTCCTCAACAAGCAAAAGGAAACCTGACGCTGGTGCCTTCTCCTGCAGACGGGGTAAATATACAAACCACATCCTTTTTTAGTCAGAGAGACATACGATATCCACACATCTGCTGAATCCTTTGTCACGAGCTACACAAGTAACTGTCACACCACAAGGAAGTCCCTGTAATGTAATGGGGAGCCCTAAGAGCAGGAAAATATACGCTACTTGCACACATGGATCTAAAAATAGCTGAGGTGAATGACGTTTTTCTTTTTGCAGATGCAAAAAACACATTTATTTTTAACAGTTCAGCTGAAAAAGCTCATAAAATGCATTTGGAAGTTTAGAGAAAAGTTAAGTGAAGAAATTAAACAACTAAACCCTTTTTGTACCAGAATAAGAAGAGCTGTCAGCAGAAGCTTCCAAGATGAGAATTCCATGATGCCTCGCTGTTCCCAGGTCTGTTTCCAAGTCCGGTGCCTGTTGCCCTCCCTCACTCTGCGCCCTGCCTGCACCACCGGCAGTCTCCTTTCTGACTTTCTGCAGCTCTTCCTCAGGAGTTAACATGTGGAACTGGATGGAGGGAGGGGACTGAGTGTGTGTGTGCTGTGCATAGAGCTGGGGGGTGATCTGGGCTACACAACGCCTTGGTTCTGGCACACACACAGCCAATCAGTAAATAGGCCAAAAAGGTCTCAGTCAAGCGTGCTAATCCAAACAAGGAGCTGGTTGAGCTGCAGCTTCGTAACTTCACACGTTTTCTGTCAGACAGTGGGAATAATGGCTCAGCTATACACCAATTTTCTTCTTTCCGCTTCTTTTTAAATCATCTAAGATTTCGGTCTCACATTCCTGCTCTTTTAAAAAAAATCTTTCAGTTTGCTTTCTCTCTCGTTTTGTTTCTTTTATCCAAAAACAATCATATTGTGGTTTCTTCACAAACAGGCATCCATATCAATGCACGGGAAATGATGGATTTGGCATCATGACTCTGTCTACAAATCCGGAGTGTTTTTGTCTCCATCATGGAGTTATGTGTGAGAGTCCTATGTAAATCAAATATCATGCTCTGGTCACTGAAGCTATCAGACTTATTTCCCGTTCCATTTGAGGTGAAGGTCTACTTCAATAGGTCCTTTCATAACATCTGGCACTTTGAGCCAGAGAGAACATTTATGGTGTGAAGGTTGGGAATAAACCAGGTGAACCCTAGAGGGACTGAATCCTCTGCCTGTTAGGGGAAAAAGACCAATAATAATCATTTTAAAAATACTATTCACAATTAACAGCTCCTGGAACTGAGGGAATTTACTATACACCAACTGGATTTCCAGGTTTTCCAAGGTATATTATTCTCTTGAGTCATTCTACCCATCAATAGATTGAATATATTGGATAATGATTATAAAGAATGTGGTTGTACCAACATAAATGTCTGAGACAAGGTCTCTGTCATAATCAGCAAACCAACGAGATAAACTGCATAAATTACTGAAAGGACTGAGCGCAAACCCAGCAGCCTTTAGTCCCCTTTGCCCATAGTACACACATATTATGATCCATTCTGATCATTTGTGCAAATAATTATATACATTGGGTTGTGTGCAAGCACCTTTCTGTACTTGTTATGCTAGCCTGAGTGCTAGAAACGTGAGACAATGTTGATACACTGAAATATCACGATATTTTGTGTTATGAAACTGAAGTGATATTTAAAAGCAGAGCATCTTTTATTCAGAAATGTTACTGCTTTGTTTTTGTGTGGTGCAATTCTAACTCCAGCTGCTAGGTGGCAGCACTTTCGACCGTCTTCAATCTCCCAAAACAACTACATCTGGCACTGGATGTGTCTTGGAAGAATCTGGCCTGATTGGGCCCAGTATTAAAAATTGTTAATAACATCTGGCTTTTAGGATATATCGTATCATCTCCCTGTATTGTGATCGCATACATATCGTATCGCTAGATTCTTGCCAATGCACAAAACTAATAAGTGCTGTTACTTTTCATGATGTTAGTTTGGTCACTGAGAAATGTAACCTAAATTAGGTTGAAAGGTAGTTCCCAAAATATAACACCAACATTCACTGATCTGCACATTCACCGAGCTTTACACCATAATGTTCTTTCACTATAAGGAAGGGAAAGCACCAGACTTTTGCACTTTGTCTGAAAGGTTTCTGTCCTATGAGCTTGTTTTCAGAATGCTAGGTTGCATTCTGGAGCACAAAGTTCCTTCACATGTGCCAAAAACAGGTATTAGCTAGAAATCAGACACCTTAAAACTTAAATGCTCTTAATGGGTAAAAAAAATTGCAAAATGTGTGGGACTAAAAACCTCTAACTACTGTTACAAATCACTGGTAAGATGTTTGGTGATGTTTGTGCGTTTCTTTGAGTAAAAACATCTGCTAAATAAATAAACCCAATATTCTCTTACAAAGACTTGAACATGTTGTAGGGATCAAAGGAACAGCACTAGACTGGTTTGATTTCAGTTTTCAAGTAAATGAAAAATCTTCAAACTCTAGGGCAGTGTTTCCCAAAGTCCCGTCCTCAGGACTCCCTGTCCTGCATGTTTTCCATGTCTCTGTTTCAGCACACCTGATTTGCATTTGCATTGCATTGCATTGCCTCCTCAGGAAGACAATGAGTGTGCAGATGCCTTTTAATCGCTCAATCATTTAGGTCAGGTGTGTGTGGTATCAGGGAAACACTGGTGTTTGAAAGGATACCATGGAAAACATGTACAGCAGGGAGTCCTGAGGACTGGGATTGTGATGCACTGCTATAGGGTTACTTGTGGGGTACTACAGGGTTCAATGCTTGGACCCATTGTTTTTACCATATAAACATATATGCTTCCAATTGGTAAAATCATTAACCCCCAGAGACCCAAATTTAGAAAGCAACTGCAAAATCTTTTTTTAACCTTTCACATGTTATTCTAGGAGGCCAGATAAACGGGCCTATTTACACATTTTAACAGCCAATAGTGTTGCAGAACTGAACAATAGGACCTATTAGCAATGTAAATGTGGTTTCAAAAAGAAAAAAAATGGGGAAGGTTTATTTTTGTAGACTTAAATCTGATGTTGTAATATTACAACCATGGGTCTCTGGGGGTTAAACAGCATGGGATAAACTTCCTCTCTTATGCTGACGATACTCAGTTATATTTATCCATAAACCCTGATGAACCTAATCGGTTACAGGCTTGTCTTGACAGAAAAAAGCTGGATGACTCAAAACTTTCTGCTCTTCAATCCAGACAAGACTGAGGTTTATCTTGCTGTAATTTGGTGTTATAAAAATTCTAATAATAATAAACATGTGCTCCAATATGGCTTATGGTATTGCAGAAGTTGCAACTGGCCTAAGTTAAAATTATGCATGACTGAATGCAAAAACTCTACTTGAAACAGGATATTTAAAATAAAGAATGCAAAACAAAATGATTGCTCACTATTGGCTGGCTGCAGTATGTAATTTAAGCCTCACCCCCTCTATGGAACAAAAAGAACATTTTCTGGACTAGAAAATACAATTACAATCCTTTTCTCCAGGTGTTAATCACTTCTTACCTTGCATCTTGTATGTTCAAATGTATTTCTTTATACACATGGTTGTAATTGGTTACTTGTAACCAATACCACTATAATTGTGTACAGATGAGTATCAATGAGACTTTTAGCTTTAGCTCCACCAAAACCTTTTCCAAATTGCCTGCATAGGATATCATGGTTCCTTTTCTGTATAACAGAAGCAGACAGGGGTGTTTTTTTCTTTGCAGTAGCTGTTTGGCGCCAAACTTCCGGTGCTCCTGGATGGGTCTTATAAGTCTTTTATTGAGGAATTCAGACCAAACAATAAAAAAAAGTTCATAAAGTAAATTCTACACCAACAATAAATAAATGAATAAATAACTGTTCTATTCAGTAAAGATTGTGAGGAATGTGTGACAGTGTCAACCAATCCAATTATATTTTTAAAACCTATACCCATACCCTGCTGCTGACAGTACAATGCTCAGTCTGTTAGAGCTACTCCAGGAGGGTGTATGCTAAATGTGCAAATAGGGGAAGTTTCAAAAACATACTTGAGCACACAACTTTTGACTTAACATTGACGTTTCTTGCGGTGTCGGCAGTGAAGGACATGGCCATTTTCACAAGCAGGTCATACAACCCCTGCTTGTCTTAATCCAAAACCTTCTGATGTTTACTTTCAGAGGAAATCCTTCTCACATTTGCAAATGTATGACTACAGAAAATAAATTATGGTATGGGTGGTGTGGCCCAAGTTTAAAACCAAACATCCAGGGAGGAAATTAACACTGTCTGATTGACAGCAGCATGGACTCGGTTCTTTAGCACAACACAAATAATCCAGGATGATGATGAGGTGAGAAAAAATATGACACAACATAATCTGTTGGTTTTTCTTTCCTACAGCAAGGAAGGTGAAGTAATCAGGCTGCTGGAGAGCTAGACTGTGTAGAGGATCTGCTAAAGTGACTGTTCCAGTGAATATTCTCCCTTTTATCACCCAGGACCATAGTGGGTTGGTCATCAGCTACAAAAACATCCAAACTCCAAACTGATCTCTAAGAGCTGAGAGCAGATGTCAGAGGATACACAGGTTGTGAACAAACCCCCTGTTTAGTCAGATGGTCTAAAGCTCTTTAATTTGAGGTCAACTGAAACAATGTTTATCCAGATGACGGTCATTTTCCTTTACAGTTTACTTAAGTTTTCTCTTCAAAGTAAATGTGGCTAACCTGTTAGTTTGTGTGGGACTTAAGTGTCAGTTAGCTGTTGGGGGATGATGCTGGTGTTTAACATAGAGCGGTGGTGTCCAATCCCATCTCTAGAGCCACTATCCCGCAGGGTTTAATGTTTTCCTGCTCCAACACAACCAACTCAATGGTTGGATTATCGGATTACCATCTGTAGATACCAGATAATCACCAGGGGTCTCATTTATCAAACATTGTGTAGAATCCTTATTAAAAGCGTACTCACAAAAAAAAGTACTCACGCCAATAAGGTTTGTGATCTATCAAACATGGAGTACGCACAGCTGCACGCAATCTCCGCTTCATAAATCAGAGACTAACGAGAAAGTGTCTCAGCTTCTTTTTAGTCACATCCCGCCCTCACCACGCCCACTTACTGCCATAAATGGTCAATGCAAAGTGCCTTATGTACAGTATATACATAAGCCGGCTTGTTGCAGCATTTCAACCACGACCGCATATCAAGGAAGCGCTATTTCATGAGCAGAAGTTGAGGTACTTGTGGGTGAGGTGGAGAAATGAAAGGAAGTACTGTTGCAAAACAAGAGAAAATCCACGGAGTGGCACAGCGTTGCTGAAGTCGTCAATGTTGTGAATTCTTCAGAGAGATCTGTGGTGGATATAAAAAAATGGTCCAATCAGGATTCGATCTCCAGACTCCCAGGTGAAAGTCTTGCGCACTAACCAGTCAGCCAAAAGGAAATCTCCCTTGTCCAAGTAGCCAGGGCGTATGATCAATCGGGTCACGGTGACAGGACACACACTGTCACAGATGCATGACATTCTGTCTCAATCTGTCCCCCTGCTGATATTCTGCATTCCGTATTCTGCACTTCAGGCTGTGTGCGTGTGCGCGCGTGTGCGTGTGTGTATGAGTATGCGCGCATGTGTGTGTGTGTGTGCACGTGCATGTGTGGGGTCTTGTTGTGTGTGAAAACAAAGCGGTACAAGTGATAATGCTGCAGATTTTCATAATTTTATCCTTCTCAGCAGCAGCACTGCAGGTGCTCTCCATGCCCAAAATGTGCGTAAGCCAGGTCCTTAGTCTACTTAAAGTTGCGCACATTTTCCACTAAGTTTTCTTTCATAAATCCCAAAGTTTGCGTGGAAAGTTGCTTTCGCAGTTTTCCGACCCCGTTTTGTGCGTAAGCAAGCTTGATAAATGAGGCCCCTGTTGTGTTGAAGCAGAAATACAGTCTAAAACAGGCATGGCCAAAGTACCTGAGGGCCACTTACAGCAGGGGTATTAAATTCCCGGCCTGGACGGCCAGGAGCCAGCATGTTTTAGTGGTTTCACTGCTCCAACACACTTGATTCAGTGGTTGAATCACCTGTGCAGCAGCTCATCAGGCTCTCCAGAAGCCTGTTAATAACCTGCTGACTGAAATCCGGTGGGTCAAAACAGGGAAAACAATAAAACATGTAGGATAGCGGCCCTCGAGAACCGGAGACTGACACCTGTGCTGTAGAGTAAAACTGCTCTAGCATGTAATGGCACCTGTGTCAACCATTCTGTCTGCTTCTACAGCCAGGACGGGACAGCTTTAAAAAAATGATAAAAAAGGGATGCTCGATATTTGCTGTTTTACTGACATTATTTTCCTGATATTGTCTGACTTAATTTACGATACAGATAAATGCTGTGTCCCCATGATAAAAATCCTTTAGGTTACTAACATCATGTATCTTCCACCATGCATGCTTAAACATTATCTGTGCAAAATGGCAACTACTTTAAAATTAGTAATAGAAAAAGTGCCATGCTTATTTTGTCTCCAACAGCAGCTGAATCTCATTCTCCCTAAGTGCAATGCTAAGATGTGTGTATTATTCAGTAATGTGTTTCCTTTTTTCTGTGTATTGCATCTACGATGATGAAACATTTATAAAGACCTTCAGAAAACAAAATCATGGGTGAAGATTCTTGTTATTGTTTTAGCCTTTTGTTAGCTGTTAGCTACATGTAGCTAGGTGCTGTGTGGACAGCGTACGTTCAGTACACAGAGCAAATTTCTTCTTCACAACTTGTGCCAAATAAACTAAAATATCAGATCTGTCATATTTTAGACATTTCGAGAGAGGAAAGTAGATGGCTTGATGTATAATATGTGTATATTATGTAAGTGTTGGGTCATTAAAAGACTGAAAATCGATGTCAATATTTTCCAATATTACATTTTAATACCAATATCAGGTGATATTAATAGTAGAACAATAATATCAGACATCCTTGATAAAAATGTAAAATTTCAAGCTGATACAAACATTTAGAATATACCTTGGTGAGAAAAAATTACAGCAACAGGAAAAGTTTAGGAATGGCATACACAGAATTTGACAGTAAACAAGTATAAATATAACACACCGTTAGCCTAAAACCTAGACTGTCAGTAGCCAAAGCTAAATGATCTAGCCACGCTCCACTGGAACCTCCGCAGCCCCAGAAAGCTTGGTGGCTGGCCAATGGCAGCACTCTCAGTTTGGGGGACAGGATGTTACTGCAAATGAGCAAAGTAAAGATGGCGACGGCTCCTTAGAAACGGCTTTGGCAACAACTCTGGACTATTTAGACATGGGCTTTTCTTTGAGTCAAGAGCAGATTGAGGTACTTAAAGCTTCTTTCTGGAGTATTTCTCTTATCCGATGGCACCATCTAGTGGCTGACAAGCATATCACACACATTCTGTAGCTGACAAACAGAGCTGAAACATGTTATTTCACGAGTATTATTGTCATGTAGTTGTGTTCTCATAGATTTATATTTTAGAGACTTACTTGTCCGTAAAAAGTTCATCAACTCTGCATCAGCCGAGGTATTCCTTAAATTTGAAGCATCTAAGCAGTAGTCTAACGCTATTGGTTAGTTCTGGTGGGCGCTCAGTTTCCTATTGCACGGAGCTCTGCGGGGCAGAGGATGTGCTTAGCAAGAAAAATAAAAAAGTCGTATTGCTTACATTTTATCACATTACATGATGAGACAATCACTTTTACAGATTTCTCAAAAATCATACATCATTTCTGAAATGGGAAAACTCCAGAAAGCAGCTTTAAACCCTTTAGGTAGAAAAAGGATGTATTTGTGTTCTTCAATAGTGTGTGGTGGACTGCCCCATTGAGTGACATCTGTAGAGGCGAGTATGTCCCGTTATTTGTTGTTCGATAGCATGTAGAGACGGTCTGAAAAAACAACAGTCATGGGCCGGGATCTACATATGGGTTGTGGCCAGAATATATATTCATATCTATAGGACGGCTTGCCAGGCTGATACACTGTGGCTTTAAAAAAGCAAAGGAAAGACAATCTGTATAATAAAATTGAATCCTGGATCCCACTACAAGTTCTAATTTTGTTGTGATTCATACAAATATTGTCCAATGTTGTAAGTTTTGCTAATTCTGGCAAACATAATTTGACATTCCTTCAGAAAATGTTCCCAGCTACACAGGAAGTGCTACAGCTAGCTGGTGCCATTAGTTAAAGGTTTTCTTTAAATGATTAAGTAACATTGACCTGAAGGCAACTATAAGTGTTTGCAGAAACAATGGAGTAGGAATAAGATGCCTTCAGCTTTTGGCTCAAAGTTTGAGAAACAAGACTAAATGTAGCATCAAACAAGGCTAGAAAAGCTCTCTCATGCCCAACGGTTTAACTTCTTCCAAGTCTACTTCTTTATGTTTGACTAAATGTTTAAATGTTTGCCACGTTAAGTGACGACCTGAGTTAACAGTCCCTGAGTTCTCAGAGCGAAAGACAAATGAAGCTAAAGTTACCTGGAGCTGACATTAAGATGCACTGGAGAGGCTGAAACGGTGGTTCCCACGCAGACTTGACATGATCCAAGAGGGTTAGCCTCCCGCCTCCCCCACAGACGGCCTACATGTGTTCCAGTCATGATTTACACCAAAGTCATTGTTTAAAAAGCTTACTGGGTCACAGCATTAAATGTTTTACCAGGATCAGGATTTTTACGAGATGCAGCTGAAAATCAAGGACACTTCCCCAACCCAGAGAACGAGGGATTAAAATAAAGATGTAACTCTGACGACCGGTGAAAATGAATTCAGGCCAGATGGAAGGAACCTAAAACAAGCAGTTTAAAGACAAGCTTTAAAAATAATTACCAAATATGTTTTTATTATGTATTGTGGCACAATTATTCTATCATTCTGATTGTGTAGGAGAGGTGTTCAGTTGGATAGTTGCATTTTTGAAGTTATTTCAGTATTTGCTGTCAGTAATTTGTGTGCAGGAAATAGAGCAATGTACTTTCAGGTGGCAACAAGGAAAATTCATCCATTAAACTTAATTTGTACTAATCTGCAGAAAAGATACATATTCTACATGAATGTTGAGCACTTAGCCAAGTGAAGCAGTTGGTTGCCACTGCTGCGTTAGAGCAAAAGTCCTTGGTTTCATTCCCGCCTTTTCCTTGCCGTATTCTCCCATAGTCCAAAAACATGCAAGCTAATTTAATGGGTGATCCTCCATTGAGCCCAGGTGGATGTCTGACTTAAGGTGGCCTTGGACTGGTGACCAGATCAGAGTTTAGCCAGCATCTCACCTCATGACGGCTGGAAGTAAGAAAGAGGATGGAAACTGTGTTTCTCAAGCCCATCAGGAGCTCTTGTATTTGTGACATCATTGAGATAAAGTGAGAGAAATGGTAGAAAAGCCAGTAAAAATGTCTAAATTTGTGTTTTAATTTTTAAGGAACAAAGATGATCTGTTTTAGTCATTGAATAAATTGTGGAAGTCTTAGTTTATTGATGTGTAGCCTTTACCCATTTTTATAGGGCTGTTTTGTGTTGTTTTTATCTGTTTTCCGAGTGATTTTTTAATATTTGTCTTTTATCTGTTTATTCTGGATTGTATTTTTTTACTTGTGTTAAAAGTGCAGTAGTGATGGGATTTATAGCTCTTTCATGGAGCCGTTCATTAGTCGGTCGTTTACCTCAAAGCTGGCTCCTTTGAACGAAGTGAAGCCAAGAGTGTGTGTGTGTGTGTGTGGGGGGGGGGGGGGGGGTAATCAAGAGCAACGTCTTCCTGCGGTGTCCGTGAGGACGCACGGGATTGGTTATCTATAATCACGTGTTTATATACATATCTATGGTTCCTCCTCCTACGACCGTCACAGCAGTGGGTGGGGCTTGAGCGGGTGAGTTTGACCGACTTCCAGGGAGGTTTTGTTAAGATGAACGGCTCTCTGCAGGGACTCGGCTCTCATCATTTACTTTGAAAACCCGTTCAAAAGATTCGATTCGTTCGTGAACGTCACATCACTACAGTGCAGTATGTAAGAATATAGTGAGAATTTTACAGTGAGAAAATCCCAAAAGAGTCTAATGTTTCTGTCATTTTGGAAGGAAGGTAATGCTGAAACGTATCCAGCTGGCTGCGGTGATAGTCAGTTTTTGTCGTTTCAAAACAAAGGAAGGGGGATGTAACCACTGTTTACCCTCAGTGAGTGTGTGGTTGCCGTGTCTCTTGCGAGCTAATACTGCAGCACTGACAATGGTAATTTGACGACGGTTGGCAAAAACCTCCAGAGTTGTTTAAAGGGGTTGCAGTAACCACATTTTACCACAGGATGTCATCTTTACTTCATTTCTACATAAAGCACCTTTAAATAAACCATTGTTTTACTCATTTTTAAAAATGGTCTTTCACTCTGAGTTTAACATACAGGCTGGACATGAAAATGGTCTTCTACACCTATCTCTTGCATTAGCTTCTGATTTAAAATAGATGGAAAAACACTTCAGATTCATAACAGATCTACGTCACACTGTCACTTAACATTCATGGACTCACCCAACTTGACACATAACGAGGAAGACTGTCGTTGGTTTAGCGTCCAGGAAACAGAAGACAACGTCTCGACTAGTAGAAGCTAACTGTTAGCATTAGCAACTTCACCACACAGCAGAACTCCTTCAGGCTTGTGTTATTTATGGGGATTAAACATCAATGTTGCAAAGCAAATAGAGTCAGTGGTAGAGTTGTGTTGCTGTTAGCCAATCAGAGGCAAGTGTCAGGAATTAGGACTCTAAAACCTGCTGTCTAAAGCTACTTTCTCCTCTGGCTTACTTCTACATCCTCTAATAGGGGCATTTGAGTTTTTTTCCCCCTGAGTACAACTTACAAGGCATTCATTCCTAAATAAGTAGGATTGGACTGGAACTTCTTTCTAAAGAAAATTTTCACACAGTTCTAAAACCTTCTAATGCCTATAACAAATTTAAAAAAATGGAAAAACCAAACTGAATAAACATCTATCTTGTTATGGTCCAGCAGCAGAAGTGAGAACACCAAAATAAAGCAGCTAAACCATTTAGAGATGATGAATTTGGGGGCAATCTGTCAGTTCTTGAAAATTTTTCGTCTGGCTGGAGTAGACACAAAGCTACAGACTATTTATTATTGATAAGGAGGACGTTAGATGGGTGCAAACGGGGCAATGTGTCTCACTTTGAATGGTAACTATGACTATTATAGTGTCATATTTCATAGTAAGTCTCTGAACCTTTTATAGTGACATAATGAGAAAGCCAGAAACCACAATGTTGTCCCACCTGAGCTGGAATGCTGCAGCCCACGGGGGCGACACGCAGAGTAATTA